AGCCTTCACCCTTAGCCAAATGTGTTTTGCTTTAAAGTGCATAAGTTTGATTCACGGTTCGATCGTTAATGAATGTTAAAAGATGAGTTTCTTTGATTGTTTGGAATATGAGAATCATGATTTGAAATTCATTGTGTGATGAGTATGGCTAAGTTCTTTGGAGTATGAGTGTGCGCATTGCATTTTAGAACTAGTAACTAGGACGTTGAAATTGATTCATTTGAAAGACACCTTTGCAAGAAGCTTAAACCCCCGTTTGTTTTAAAACCTCTCTCCCTTCTTAAATTTTGTTTGCTTGAGGGCAAGCAAAAGGCAAGTTTGGGGGAGTTGATATTGCTGTATATTTCATGTGTTTTGCATACATAATAGATAGTTTCTCATGCATTTACCTTGCACTTTAAGCTAGTTTGCATCACTTTAGGTCCTAGAGTACTTTTGCACCAGCATTTGCATGTTTCTTGCATTTTGCATCACAATCAGGTTGTTTTCGGTTACATTGGAGCAATGGAAGATTTGTGGACGTGCTAAGGCTCGTGAGGAAGTCCGTGGATACTTGGAGAAATCAGGATTGCACGCTAAGGACCTGAGATCGAGTAGCAGATCGAGCAAGGCAGGTCGATCTAGACGAGATCGACCAGAAGGTCGAGTGTGGAGAACGATCTGAAGTACGGACGTAAACGACGCCATGCAGATCGAGGACCGGATCGAGCTTCCAACCCGATCAGCACAAGATCGACTCAGAGATCAAGCAAGAGCCATCCGATCCAAGACGTGATCGAGTGCCAGATCGAGCTTCATGATAGATCCCAGACCAACCTTATCCGTCCAGCCTGTTTTTGGACCGTAGCGAAGGGGGGGGGGGGGGGGGGGGGGGACCATTTGCGGTTTGGCCATTTTTGGCAAAGAGAAACGATCCCTTTCATTATTCCACCCTGTCGACAACTTTTCTATCATCTCTGTCGTTTTAGGCGATTTGCCATTGTAGGCTTTCGAGCTTTTTTCTCACTTTTATGTTTTGAATATTGGATCTTTGCTTTTAATCAATCATTTTTCATGTTTAGTTCATCGTTTATTGCATTTTGTTCGGTTTACTTTATGAGTCAGGAGTAGTTTCATCAGGTTTTCGGGGTTGAGAGGATTCAAAAGGGTTGAAAAGGTTTAAAGTTTGGTGTTTTCTTGTTCTTCATCGCCTTCTCTTCTAGGATTTGAGCGCTTAAGGTTTAAAGACTCTCACGCCAAGATCTTTATGATCAGAGGGATATTTTACCTTGACAGGATTCAGATGTCCTGGAGAAATCAAATCCTAGAGGCTAATCCTTCCTTTCCACACGCCATGGTCGTTTAGGGGATAAGTTAGGCCGTGTGTTTGAAATCTGTGTTTTATGCCTTTCAATCTCTTTTTCCACCAAAAGCCATGGGTTTAGAGAAGAGAATGAAAGAGTGATCCATACCACACGCCATGGATGGATCTTGTTTTGTTTTCAAGGCCTAGAGACTCTCACAAAGTGAGTAGATCTAAAGTTTTCAAACAAAGCTTGAACCTTTGAAACCCTCGAACATGATTCTCAACCCTGGACCCTCTTTCTTAGTATTTTATCATCTCTGTTAATCATTCGCTTGTTATCTGTTCGCATCTTGGTCGTTAGACTCATTTCTGTTCGAACTGTTTAGTAGATCGATCGTTGTTGCTCGATCTAGTGGTCGATCCCGTGGTCGATCCACTAGTCGATTTTTATTAATTCGTAGCTTTGCATTTTAATTATTCCGCTTATTCCTCGTGGTAGTTAACCCTCTTCCAGGGATTTTAAAATTATTTTGCCTTGCATTTCATCATTGCATCTTGTTTTTAGGATATTTACAAAACCGTTCATCATTTGCTTAGCTTTGCATGATCCTTGCATTCTCATTGCACTTTCTAGCTCCTATGTTGGATTGAATCCTCTTGCACTGTACTACGACTGTGTGCTGCTTGAGTTTTGATAACCTCCTGCATTGCTTGCTTCTATAGACGATAAAAAGTTGTTATCACAACCACAACTGCAACAAGCTCCACCCCCACTTGTAGATAAAGGCAAATCAATAGTGGTGGATTCAAGATTTAAATCCAATGGCCGACGTGCTGATCTAGGTAAATCTAGTACTTCTCAAAGACATCATGACATAATTTGTTATAAATGTCAAGGCATGGGTCATGTATCAAGAGAGTGTCCCAACAAAAGAGTCATGATCACCAACCCTGATGGGTATGATTCACAAGATGAAGTCATGGTAGAGAATGTTGATGAAGAACTCACAATATATGCTGAAGAAGGAGAGCTTCTAGTCATTCAAAGATCACTAAATTCACAACCTGTGCTTGAAGATCAGGAGCAAAGAGATAATTTATTCCACTCTAAATGTACAAAAAAAAGAAAAGGTATGTCATTTGATTATGATAGTGGTTCATGTGCTAATATTGCTAGTGTTACTTTAGTTGGAAATCTTGGGCTAGTTACGATACAACACCCAAGACCTTACAAACTTAAGTGGCTGAATGACAAAGAAAAGCTAAAAATATCAAAGCAAGTAGAAGTCCCATTCTCAATTGGCCAGTACAAAGATCAAGTCTTGTCTGATGTTGCACCCATGCAAGCAGGCCATGTTTTTCTTGGAAGACCATGGCAATATGACATAGATGTCTCTCATAATGGCTGCACAAATGAATACTCTTTCAGCCTCAACAATTATAAGTTTATTCTTGCCTCTTTAGCGCAAATGGAAATCAGAGTTATGCAACTCAGAGCTAAGCCTGGTAATAAAGCTAAGACAAGTAATTTGGTAAGAAACATTAAACTTTGATCCACCATATATAATGCACTTATCTTCTCCAAACGAGCTCTATGCAGGTTTTATGGAACAAGAAGAGCAAAACGTGGAATACAAGGCACAAAACGTGTTGTACAAGTATGAAAAAGTCCCCAAAACTGAGCTTACACCAACACTAGAGCTCATGGCAGTTAAAAACATTCCATACACTTCACTATTGATCACCTATTTTCGAAGAAATCAAAGAAACATCAAGGTAAGTTTCTAAACCCAAAAATTTGTAAAGAAACTTACTTTATCTTGGTGCAGATACAAAGGTTTTGAGGATAAAACCTTTTCAAGAGAGAAAGTAAGATGAGGAAATGAATGCTGATCAAACCAGACCAGCCCATGGAAACTGTACCAGAGCTAACCAGGAGCACTCCATGCTTGTACTCGAGGAACAAGAGAAGCTTCTAGCTGAACTCAATGGAGTCAAGGGCCTAAGCTTGGAGTTTCAGCGTCCAAATTATCAATAAGATAACATTGATCGAGCTAAACCACCCCCGTTATGGAGTAGAAACAGAGATACACAAGGTAACCCCTTAAAACATGCGCATGGACCTACACATGCTTTCTCGGCGGGTCCATTTAAGGAAACCACGGGTATTTTTTATACCAACTCCCATCATTTTCATCCCTTGGCGTGCTCAGAAGATACCAAAGGAAGAGAAACACAAAATCAAGCCAATAACTACATCAAACCATCCCAAACCAAAGAAGATATCACCCTCAAAAAGGTTTCCTTCTCTGATCACATTAACTTTGTTTCAAAGGGAAACTATGACCAACGACCACTTTCTCTGGTCAATATCGACTCTCCATTCAAGATAGAAGATCTTGAACGTCCATACCATGGTGAAGATTCAAGGATTCATACCTCATTCACTTCCTCAATTCAAGCCCCTTGCCCATTAATACCCAACGGCTAATTGACAAGAATCTCTTCACTTAAGCCAAGTTTAATGTTTTTTTTTTATGTTAAGACCATTAAAAGTTTTTGTTATTTCGAGCATTATATAAGCTCAATACCTTTGTGCTTTTATTTCACTTTACTTTTGAATCAAAAATCTTCTGTTTGTTTTCTAAAGAATCATCTTTGAATCAATTTGTTCTTGCAAACTCTAAATTTCTTTGTGGAATCAAAGTACTTATAAATCATGTAGGGTCTAGAAACCCATGCGAGGAATAGCCTTAAGGAACTAGAGTCTTAAATCGTTGCATATGGATTAGCCAACAAACCGGTTACAAACAATTACTTTTGTGGCTAATATGCATTCCCCTCTGTATTAAAAGAAGATGCATTTGTTAATACCATGTAAATACTGTCTTCTTCCAGTAGAACGGGCGCAGATCTGAGCAGTTTCTGAGTAAATACAGAGACCAGAAATACAATGATAAGTTCTTGCACTAAATCAATGTCGGTGTTTTTAAAACAAAATAATATCTTTTTATTTTTATAGAAATGTATTTAAAAGCTTTTGCTAATGTTACTTACACTATATTTAAAAGTTCAATTTTCAGTTTTACACTATATTAGCTACTAAATGGAATTAGTATTGTTTTGCAGATGGAAGATCATGACACCTTACATGTTGTATTTGGGAAGTGGATTCGAGATTCGACTAGGAAGTCGGTATTTGAGTCCTTATCCACCGATGGAACGAGTTACATACAGCTACAGACCGGGATGAGTAACTCAGACTGGTGAACAAAGTGAAAGACAAGCTACACTTCAGGACATCAAACATCTCTATCAAACTCTCTTACCAATACCCTGTTTGGTTGGAGATTAATGACGGGGATGGGTCAGAACCGTAGTACATAACTGATGACCAAGAGTAGTTGTCTTTGTTGAAATGAAGTGAACTATAGATGAAATGAATCTTTGTGTTACACCAACCCGATTTGTGGATGGAGTACAAATGGCTTTGGAAGAAACATACCCTCAACTTACAACTGGTAATACAGCCCAAGGAGCTGGTGGAGAAGGAGATTCAGACCCAGGCGAGCATTGGCATAAGTTTGCCGTGTCAGAGACACCTCTGACTTTGCCTACAACACAGCTGTCTGTAATTAGAGAAAGGGTAAAAAGTCACAAAATACTATACTACGCAAAGCCAATGGTATAAAAATTTGCGAAAGAGATCTACCAGCTCGCACACTAAGCCTTCATACCTCTTGCTTGATGGACAAAAGTAAAGGTCCTGCGCCATCTGAGGATAGCGATTCCGATAGAGATGGTGATATCAACACACAAAGGATCCCAACATATCAACGATCTGTTTCTGCTGTGAGGAGGAGGAGGCTATTCTATGACTCAGATAAGGATGATGAACCAGAGGAGAATGTGGATGTTCAAGACACATCGACATATAACAGCTGGGGAAAGTCTGAGGAGTCCCAACACGCAATGATGATTGACTATATCAGCGACCCGATACTGTTCGCAAGAGACGCACCTCCGGTATACCATTCGGCTAGTATCGAATATCTGAATTTCACCTGCAATTGGATTTGAATTTGTATGCAACTGCAGTGGTTGATAACGCATTGGCTGATGTCCTCTACGAAGGTGACAATTTATTCATTAGGAAGATGTTCAAATTGAAGGTTGATTGTAAAATCAAATTAGCTATACATGCTATAAACAGAAAGCTTCACTTATAAACCACAAGTTTCATGAAAAGGAAATGTGTGGACCAGAATTGCCCATGGAGAGTTTATGACGTGAAGTTGGATAAGTCTAGCAATTTCCAGATAAGATCGGCGACACTAACGTATAATTGTACCTTCGACACAAGGCGCAACTACCACCGACTTACGACTACCCAAGTAATAGGGGAGATTATGCAAAAAAAGGTTGTGTGCTACTCCAGCTGGTGTGCGGAAGATTATGCTCGGTGGTTTTCATGTCAATGTGTCCTACCAGAAAGCATGGAGGTTAAAGGAGATAGCAGTGGAGAAATATTGCGGTTCGATGGTTGGTAGTTATGCACTAATGCCGGTGTATCTGGCTCTACTCAAATTCTCTAACCCAGGTAATTTTTGCTTTCTTGAGATATCGGAAAAGCAACAAGGAGGGTCGATGTTCAAATACTATTTCACTGCATTCAGCGCTTCAATCCAGGGATAGCTTTACATGTGGAAAGTAATTGTCATCGGCGGGACCAGTCTGAAGGGACGCTATGGTTGTTGCCTAGTATCTGCATTAGTGCAAGACGCAAAATTCTAGATATTTCCACTAGCATATGGGGTAGTGGATAGTGTGAATGAGGATGTGTGGAAATGGTTTTTCAGAAATCAAGTACATTTGTATACGATTCTACCGACCTTATCTTTGTATCTGATAGATATTCAAGCATATATGCGGGATTAGCATGAGTGAGTACACTGAAATACAGTACATAAATATATTTTATTTTTAACCGTTTACGGTACTATATTATCTATTCTCTGTACGTTTTTGAGATATAATATGCATAATTTAAAAACTCTGCATTGATGTTGCAGGTCTACCCTATGGCCCATCATATTGCATGTGCGGTACATCTATGGCGTAATGTCTGTGCTTCTTACTAATCTAAGCGCCTAGCAAATATTGTGAAAGATGCTGCTCGTGCCTACACTATTAGTGAGTTCAATAAATAAATCATTGAAATCTAATGATTGAACAATGGGTGTGCATCTTATCTTGTTGACACTGGTAAGTGTGGATAGAAATTGAACAACGAGTACACATAAACAGGTTTGATTATAGTTTGTCTAGAATTTTTATACTATACTAATATTTTCACCTTGTATAAAATTTGACCATTTGACCATAGCCAATTTTAAAGGACGCCGATACAACATAATGGATACTAACATTGCCGAGTCCTGGAATGCAGTACTTAAAGAGGCAAGAGAATATTCATTAACATGCATGCTAAAATACATAAGAACGGCTGTCATGTCTTGGTTTTCTCTGAGACGTGCAAAGAAAACAATGTACAAGGGGATAAATACCCCCCCCCCCCCCCCCCCCCCCCCCCCCCCCCCCCCCCCCCCCCCCCCCCCCCCCCCCTTATGCAACATATCCATATGGCAGGCCAATATGGTCCACTGCCAGGTCTGTACCGATGTCTGATATCGATATTCACACATCCATATAGACTCCCCTGTCTTAACTGTATCAGTTTGTTGCAGAGCTACTGATATATCATAGTTTTTATGGTTTTTAACCATGATATAAGTCTTTTTTATAGAGTTTTTCGGTCATTTTAGAGTCCTAGTAGAGTCTTTGCAGGTTATAGCATGTCTGGAGCATAATTGGAGATATTGAAGCTTTTTGGAGCATTGCAAGTTGAAGCCACAAAGTGTGCAACTCGAGAAGAAAAGTATGTATTTAGGTGACGCTCGTCACCACCTTTGGTGACGCTCGTCACCCAGAAAGGAAGGGGTCGTGGCTGTTTTCTAAAAGATAAAGAATTAATTGCAGTTTTGACCCAGAAGTTCTAATATTTACAAAAAGGTCCCAGATCGTGTTTTGGCCTGTATATATTAGGTTTTTGGCTATTGTTATCAAATAACACTGATCTTAGATCTTGTATCTTATTCTTTTTGAGACCTTTGGAGAGAGATTTGTAGAAGAGCTTTTAGAGAGACAAATCAGACTCCTTTAGAGCAAATTTCAAACTCCTTTATCTTTACTTCTTATTTCTTTTATGCAATCTATTCTTTTCATGATACTCAAATCACCATGTCTGAGTAGTTTTTTAGTTAAGTTAGAGCTTTTTAAAGGTTGAAGAAGAGTTTGTAGAATTGCTAAACTAATAGGAAATCCATTGGTTCTTCATATGTGCTTGCATTCATATCGATTTCTTAGACACATCATCTGGATTTTGAAACCCTAGGTTGTTTGATAGATGTGAGAGCATTATTAATCACCTGAACTAGTATTAGATGAGCAAACGCCCTAGTGCAAAGAGATTTGGCTTAGGAGTTTTGTGAACAATTGAACCTGATCATTAAAGCATGTTTAGATTGTTAGGGTTTGCAAAGAGATTTAAAACTCTGTGATTTAGACATAGATAACTTCTGCAATGAGAATTGATTAGTTATATCTTTGCGATTCATGTTCAAGACGGTTTTAATTCATTCCTGATTGCATGCATTCTACACTCTCGGATTCAACCTGCGAACTGTCGTGGCTTAGCGCCTTCAGCTTTCGGAACTTTAAGAGCAGTCTCAAAAATGCCCACTTGCTTTTATTACTTTAGTTATTTCGCATTACATTCATTACTTATCGCTTAGCTTAATCTGAACCTACAATCAATAGTGTAGTTTACGTACTCCCTTGGGATTCGATAACCCCTTGTACTACAACTGCTTTTGCTATGCACTTGCAGTAGTCTTATTTGGATAAAACCTGAGCCCTATCAGCTACAAACCTATATGCACAAGTTGATATGGTGTCAGGGGATGTCTGCTTGCTTCTCCTTCTTCTCTCTTAGGTCCTAGCTCATCTTCCAAGCTTCAGCAAGTCCCCATAGGACCTAAATCACCTGAACTAACACTCCAGATGCAATGATATGTAAGAAAATGCAAGACTAAAGATAAGACTCACTAACTCTAAAATGGATGCAAACTAGATTATATGGACAAGTTATATGCATAAAACAATGAAAATGCTACACTAAATGCTAAAATGGTGTAAGTAATGCAATTATCAAGTGGCGGTGAAGAGCTTCGTCTTTACCTCCGGTAAGTATTCTTCATCTCTTATATTTCTCTTGTCTCCTTGGGCCTTCGACAAGATCCCAGTTCTTTAGCTAGTGTTGCTAGTATTAGAGTTCTTGCTGTCGTGGCTTGTTTGAGGATGGTCTCGGGGTATGTTGTGTTCATCGAAAACATTACATTTGGAGGAGAACACTAGGGGTTCGTGTGTTGTTTGTCTCTGTGCTAGCTGACACCGGAAAAGATCTAGGTAAAGTGAGTAAGCGTACTCTCTGATTCTCTAATGCGTGTTGTTCTGGCTTAGTGTTGGCCTTTAAGTTTAGTTAATTGAGTATCGCTACTTAGATGGTGAGAACGTTCGAGCCACTTTCAGCATCTTAGAGCTCCATCTCTTTGTTCGGGCATCCGGTAACGTAGTGATATACTCAAGGTTGAGCTTCTACTTTATCGCGGGCTCACAAGCTTTATCGCTATTTAATCCTTTTCGTAAGAGGATTTGAAAAAGTATCGATATTGTTTTACACTTACATGTTTTTTACTTTTCTTGTTTGAGACCGATTAAGCGAAGGTGATAGATTTTCGGTTATTTCAAATTTGTAAAACCTAAACATTTCATTTCTTAATGCTATTTACATTCTTAGCAAAAAAAAAAAGAAAAAAAAAGATTGGTAGTAATGAAAACATGCTCCAAATAAACATGCTCTACACGTCTTGGTATTGAAATAAACATGCTCTTCACGTATTGTTTGTCGAACGAGTGTGTCACCACTCACCACCAAAAATTACTTACAGTTATGAGTAAATTTGAATTTTTGAATTATTTAGTTAACATTTTCTCCTTTCTCCAATATATTACTTATACATAATAAATTTTCTTTTGTAACTCACTGAACAGAGACGACGAAGCGACGACTTCGCTTCCTGTTTATTATAAGACGACTTCCCTCCCTAGTCGTTATCTATTATAAGACGACTTAGCTCCCTAATTATTATAGGACGACTTAGCTCGCTCTTTATTATAAAAATGAAGATACGACTCCTATTTAATCACGCCATCACTTGCATTGGTAAAAAATATCTGAAAACAACAAGAAGTAGTCAAATATGGATCTCTTCTTGATTATAGCCGCCGTGGTAGCCGCCATAGTAGCCTTCTTATTCCTCCATAAAACCACCAAGAAATCTCTCCGGCTGCCTCCCGGGCCAAGAGGTCTTCCAATAATTGGAAACCTCGATCAGATGGAGAAATTCAATCCTCAACACTTCCTTTTCCGCCTCTCCAAGCTCTATGGCCCAATCTTTACAATGAAAATGGGAAGCCGTCGCCTGGTGGTGATCTCCTCGGCTGAGCTAGCCAGGGAGCTCCTCAAAACCCAAGACCTCAATTTCACTGCTCGTCCTCTCCTGAAAGGGCAACAAACGATGTCGTATCAAGGCCGTGATCTTGGTTTTGGACAGTACACAGCGTACTACCGTGAGATGAGGAAGATGTGTATGGTGAACCTCTTCAGCCCAAACCGAGTGGCAAGTTTCCGACCCGTTAGAGAAAAGGAGTGCCAACGGATGATGGACAAGATTTACAAAGCCGTCGAACAATCAAGGACCGTTGATTTAAGTGAGCTTCTCTTGTCCTTCACTAACTGTGTTGTCTGTAGACAAGCTTTTGGGAAGCGCTACAACGAGTATGGGACCGAGATGAAGAGATTCATTAGCATCGTATACGAGACTCAAGCTCTTTTGGGCACTCTATTTTTCTCCGACCTTTTCCCTTATTTTGAATTTCTTGACAACCTCACTGGTCTCAGTGCACGTCTCAAGAAAGCTTTCAAGGAGCTCGATGCTTACCTTCAAGAACTCCTCGATGAGACTCTTGATCCTAACCGCCCTAAACCCGAGAGAGAGAGTTTCATTGATCTTTTGATGGTGATCCACAAAGACCAACCTTTCTCCGTCAAATTCACCCACGAAAATGTCAAGGCCATGATATTTGTTCGTAAACTCGCTCACTCACTCACTCACTCACTCACTCACCCTTTTTCCAAACATTTTTTTTTGGGTGTAAGTCCAAACTTTTATTAACTCGTGAAACTCGTGTTAATTCGTAGAGGTCATAGTTTCTATATTTGGAGACGAAAAAGACTTAAGTTCAAATTAGGGGTGCAAAAATGGTTGCAAAATTAGAAGAATAAGAGTGCAGGAATTTGATATTTTCTCTACAAAATTATTATTTGAGATGAAATGTTATAGAAAATAATTACACCAATTCTGCTGGTAAAAAACTGAATTTGTTATAAAAAAATTTAAAAGTTGTTCCTCTACTATATATGAACAAAAAAATGGGTGGAATAAAATTATTAATCTATCATTCCTATTCCATTTATTGTTCCATTAATTCTTCTAGTGATAATCATTTGCATCCTAGGTTAGGTTTTGGATAAAAAATATATATTTTCACTCGGTTGTAATTTGATCAGGATCGGGAACAGACACGGCGGCTGCGGTGGTGGTATGGGCCATGACTTACCTCATTAAATACCCTGAAGAGATGAAGAAAGCTCAAGAAGAAGTGAGGAATGTGGTAAGCGACAAAGGATTTGTCACGGAAGAAGACATACCTAATCTCCCTTATCTAAAGGCCGTTATCAAGGAGTCTCTCCGGCTCGAACCAGTCATCCCCATTCTTTTACACAGAGAAATCATTGCAGATGCAAAGATCGGTGGCTATGATATTCCGGCGAAGACCATCATTCAGGTGAACACGTGGGCAGTTTCTCGTGACACAGCCGCATGGGGAGACAAGCCTAATGAATTCATTCCAGAGAGGTTCATGAACGAGTACAAAGGAGTTGACTTCAAAGGGCAAAATTTTGAGCTCCTACCTTTCGGTTCAGGCCGGAGAATGTGCCCGGCGATGCATCTTGGGGTCGCAA